AGAGATGGCCACGCCACAATCCCTTCTCCTTCATTCTCCTCTCGGGATCTTGGGCACGCACACACACACACCCAGTGTGAGTTTAAGCCACTGGGTCTGGGACTCGAACCACAGTCGACTACATGGGAGTCCAGCGACATAGCCATTATGCTAACTGCTGGTCCCATGACTGTGATAATTCTGACCACTGGCTAGAAAAAGTTATTTCTCCCATAAGAGAAAGAGCAAGAGAGAAATAGGCACCCCCAACAAAGCCCTGAAGCCACACTCCACCCCCAGCCTCAGCCCCAGACCATGGGCACAAGTGCAGGATGTGTAGGGAGGCCCCAGGACCACCTGCCCACGTGGGTCCACATGCTGCACCGTCATCTTTTGATACAGAAGATGGTCTTGGTCGCTCTGCCCCCTCTAGTTCCCTACTTTCTAGCACCTTCCACCCCACCCGTGTTTCTCATTTCTGTTATTTCACCTTCTGGGCACTCGATCTTGCAGCCCACGTCTAGCAGCTCCTAGTGTAACTGAGCTTCCATGTCAGCCCATGTCTCCCTGCCCCTGCCCCTGCGATTGGAGGCACAATTGCCCGATGGTTGAGCACATGGCTCTGAGTCCAGGAAAGCAGGGCTCACGTCCAGACTCCATCATGTGTGAGCTGTGCGTCCTTGAGCACGTTGCTGCGTACTGTCTGAACCTCGTTTCCTTACCTGTAAAGTGGAGTCAGGAACGTCTCTCTGGGAAACTGAGAGTGAGATAAGATGTGGAAAGTCCGCAGCCCATGGAAAGCAGAAGTAGCCCTCTCACCTTCCCAGCAGCCTCCAGGGAGCTCATTGCACGTGTACCTGAATGTCCGAGATCCTGTCCCCACAGTTCCCCAAACTGCTGGCACAATCTGTGGCTCCTTGGATCTCTGGAGCCCACCTGTGAAGAACCGTGTAGAGGTGGAATATTACAGGCTTCTCAACATTTTCTTAATCTCTGTTCTTTCATTAAGTCGTACATGCCTACAATCCTGTTGTTTCTATTAAGCTCTCAGTAATAAAACAGCTGGAGCCAGAGCCCCCACCCTTTTTAATTAAGAGTGGTGGAAGGGAATGTGGGCAAGACAGAAGCTTTTCTCAGGTATAGTGCAGGTAAGAGCTGGGCTACAGATGACGACTAAGGACAGTCATTGCAGTACAGGCCCTTGGGTGAGAAGTCAAGCTAGTAGAAGTCACTGTTCTGAATTCTATAGTTAGAGAACAGTGTTCTTCAAGATGGTTTATGAAGAGCGCCTCCCTTGGGAATCTCACGACTAAACGTTATGCCATTTCCTGTGGTTGCTAGTGCCAAAATCTCATGCATATATTGGTTGTCATGGGAACCATGCTGGCCTGAGATCTGAGCCACTTCAATGCATATAAAATAGTCCTGCATTACTTGGTTGATGGAGCTCGACTAGTCTGAGTTTTCTCCCTTTGCCAAGTAAAATTAAGATGACCTGGAATAGCCTTTGCCCTAAAGCAATGCACACAAGAAATTTTGAATTGTCAGCCCTACTTGGAAAGAGCTGTGCCCCTGGGATGAGGGGTCTTGCCTCACTAGCCAAGACTTTTTACTAGGCAGGCCCAGCATGGAAGGGGTGACCCACATGGGGATCAAGGTTTGGAGGAAGGTTGACATCAGTGCCCTGCCTCAGTGGCCATCTCCTGCTTCAACCTAACAAATCCCAAGACTTCACAGTAGGCTTGGCCTCGGGTAGCAGACTTCCTCAGTGCTGTCTCTCGTATCTTCTTCCCAGAGAATGTCTCTGCAGCCTCTTTGGTTTTGTTTCATATTGACTCCTCCAAACTTCCAATGAAGAATCCATGGTCCCCTTATCTCTGTCGTTCATACACATATCCATGTTGACCGTTAGGCAAACACGAAGGCGGCTGCGTTTGCTCTGTAGTAAATCTCCCTGGCTACCTTTTGAGTTGAGGAATGGAGGCAGATCTGCTAGCACACTCAATCTTTTGGCCATCATCCTGGCAATGGAGTCTCAAGGAACAGGGAGCTTCCCTGAGGGAGTGAGTCCAAGATACAGTTCTCATCCCGAACAGACATCTTTCCTCCTCATCCAGGATTTATCATTCCTCTTCATGGGTCAAAGAGGAGCTCTTAGCCAGGATAAGTTGAACATTATCTCAATCCTGGTCTAGGTTAAATCCCTCAACCTTTTTTCTTTTCTTTCCTTTTCAGTGTCACCCTATTCTGTCTCTGACTTGTGCTAACAAAACTGTGTATTATAGATAAAAGGTGAAATGAGGCCTTAGAGTCAAACAGCAAGGGACAGAGCCAAGACTTAAAACCAGGTGCCCTGATGTTTGGGTGAGCCGTCACTCTCTCGATGATAGCTGGGTAAGATTCATCAAGCTCTCACTAGGCAACTAGACATTCGTTTCATGTTTACAAGTCTTCACAATAACCCTGTGTGGTAGGGGCTGTTTTCATCCAGCTTTATACATAAGAAAAGAGGTTCAGAGATGTCACATAACTTAGACAAAGTCACCAACCCAACCCAGAAGTCTGCCCAGGACGGCTCGGTGCTGGGGTTTGTGGGATGAGGCATATTTTTGTAGGATGGTTTCTCTCTCTTTGTCTCACGGTTCACTGAATAATTGCTTTGCCTGTCCAGGACCTTACTTTTCCATTGGGCACGAAGAGGATATGGCACCCTGCACACATGATGTGTGGACAGCTGACTCCAACATGCTGCAATCAGGGAGGTTTCATCGTGTCATACAGGAGGCAGCAGGGGTGGATGGCTTCTGCAGTGTGCTGAGCCGTTTTCAGAGAGCATTCAATAGATTGTTGTTTTCCTGCCAAGAGCCTTGGACTTTGGTCTTTCTAAAGCTTTCCCTTCATAGGCGCTCATACCAAGAGAAAGCATGTTCTAGCAAGCACAGGCAGGTTCTGGCCTTTGGCTGAGTTTGCGCTGCTGAAAGGGAAGCACTGGAGGCCCTATTTTGAGAAAGCTAGAGCTTTAGAAGAACTTGCTGAAGATGGTGCTTAGACTGCGTACTGGCGAGGAAGCAGGAAGTGAGCTAGAGATCTCCAACAATGAATGAAAGAGCCCTCTCTGTGTGTGGCAGACAACCTGGACGGTTGGACCATATTGGAAAAGAGGGAGAGCTGGAGGTGGTAGATTACAGGTTATAAATCAGCTCACACCCTAGAGAGGTGGGGTCTACATCCCCTCCCTTTGAATCTGAATGGCTTGGCGATGGCTTGGCTAACAGAACAGGGCAGAAGAGACATTTCTAGGCATGAGCCTCATGAAACGCCTTGCTTCTTTCTGTCACTCGGAACACACTGTTAGGACCAGCTTCCATGTGTGAGGACGTCCGAGTGGCCTGAGTAAGGGCCCGTGTGAAGAGGAATGAAGGCCTTTAAACTTGGGGCTACATTGCCGTGACAGCCACCACCAAGTTGCCACCCACGCAAGTGAGCAGCTTGGGAGGGGCTCTCCTAGGCCCTACCAGCTGCCTGAGTTGAATGACACAGAGTAAGGCTGGCCCTGCTGAGGCCTGCACAAATTATAGACCCATGAGTAAAAGAATTGTTTACTGTTGCTAATATTTTAAACCATTTAGTTTTGGGGTGGTTTGTCGTACAATAGCAGATAACCTGAACAGTGAGTACTGGAGAAGGATCCATCTATTTCTTAGCATGGAGGGATTAGAACTAACACTCAGTTAGTTGTACTTAGAAGTGTGTGTGTGTGTGTGTGTGTGTGTGTGTGTGCACGCATGTACACGAGTGTGTGTGTATGAATGTGTGCGTGTGCTCTTAGACTCACCGCCCAGTCTATAGCACAAAGTCTCTGCTGCTGGATGTGGCAATCATTCTCATAAAAACCAAATGTGGGCATGACAACTGAAGCTAAATAAGTAAAACTAAATGTAATAGCAAAAACCAGTAGCTTTTTCTTTTTTTAGAGGTTTTTGCCATAGGGTGTGTATGCACCCTGGAGAGAGAGAGAAACAGAGACTGTGAGAGAGAAAGTGAGAAATCACCCCCCAGGGGGGAGGGCCACACCGCGATCCCTTCTCCATTCTCCTCCTGGGATCTTGGGCATGCATGCACACGTGCCTGGGTGAAACCACCGGGTTTGGGGCTCACATATGGTTGGCCATGTGAGAGTCCAGCAATGTAACCACTACACGGTCTGCTGGCCCCACCAACAATTATTCTGAAAGGTGGTATCCAGAGGGGACAGTGGGCAAACTCGCAGCCACTGGTCCACTCCTGACGGCATCCCCCTTGAAGTGGGACCTGCAATGGGGTTTATTTCCATTGTGGGGAAATGTCGTCTCTGTTGTTGGTTAGCACAGTTTCAATGCACCACTCCACCCTCCCCCCTTTTCTTTCATTTACAAAGGAAAGGGTGCAGGCCAGCAGATGGCATGGAGGTTAAGGCAGCTGGATTCCACATGGCCAACTTCATAGTTCAAGTCCTAGACCCAGCAGCTTGAAAATAATGCCTGGCGCATGTGCATGTGCACCTAAAATCCCAGGAGAAGAATGGGGAAGAAGGGCTTGCGCTGTGGTCATCCTTCAGGGGGGATTTCTCACTGTCTCTCTCTCTGTGTCTCTCCAGTGAGCACACATGCTCTATGGCAAACTCTAACACAAAAACAAAACCAGAGAGGGTGCATCATATCACACTAGCAGAGGTCCCTCAGGTAAAGCCTCTGCAATGTTTTGAGCTCACTTACCCTCCAAACTGCAGAGGTGGCGTGACAGTGACATTGTGGTCCT